CGGCCTGGAGACCACACTGGTAAGAAACCGCCGTTGCAGCTTGACTCTTAGTCCTGAGAATAATCAAGCTAAACATCTCAGCGTCGTGTCTTCATAAATGCCAGCACATCAGTTTTATTACAATAGAGAATACGTTACTTATGCGCCGGAAGAATGGACTCTCCGACCTGTCCTGTGTGTCGGTGTAGAGGTGGAGGTCTAGGCGCTGACATCATACGCCTCACATGTACCGCAGCAATTATGGGCTCGGGCGTAGCCTGCAGTGCGGACCCTAACCCACCGGTTGCTTTGATATTTCAAAACTATTATCGGGGCTTTTTCTTCGACAGCGTCTCCCGCTTGCAATTTTACTATCCCTGCTCTCTCTCTCTCTCTATTTGTTCATGTCCAGGCTTCCCACTGGCTCGACAGCAGTCTTATATGCATCAGTATCACTACCCCAATCTGGAGACAGCCGAGGAGGATGGTCGACTGAAGCATCCCCGATTCGTCCGCGTTGGCTCTGGACGCCTGGTCAGTACGTGCGGCACACGAGACGCCATCCGCAACCGGATGATTGCCCAGAATGCTCTGCTTGATCCGCCAGTACAACAACCCTACGTGAATAATACCTTGGAGGAGGAGGATGATGAGAACCTGGATTTTGACCCCTCTCGTCATCATCATCCAATGGGTCGGAGGGTCAACTCCCTGGAGTCCTTACAACAGATCTTCCGTCAGGGTCCGTGGCTGCTTTTTGCTCGTGTATGATAAATGTTGTTAAGACAGAGTTTGAGTACCCTCTGCCTTCCACCTTTGGTTGACATGACCATGCCAGCTAATTCGAGCTCGTGAAACATAAAAAGTTTCCTTCTGTGTGTTGAAATGTAGGCATCCCATATTTCGCGGGAAACATTCATTTTTTCTGGACCTAACTATATTAAGAATCATATACTACTAATATTACGAATACCACTACCGCTACTAGTACTTATACTGCCACCACCAATTCTAAAAGAACAACAACAACTACTACTACTACTATTACTACTACTACGGCTACGACTACTACTACAACTAGTACCTACTACTGCTACCGCTACTACCACTGCTGCTACCACTACTTATACCACTACGGCTGCCGATGCTACTATTACTAACTCTACTACTGCTAATACTACTTTTACCACTACTATTAGTATTACTACTACTTCTACTGCTACTGCCACTAATAACACCACTACTTTTAGTGATACCACTAACACAACCCCCCGGAGTCCTTACAACAGATCTTCAGTCGGGGTTGGTTGCTGTTTTTTGTTCCTATATGGCAAAAACATGATGAATGCTGTTAAGATAGAGATTGACTACCCATATTCCATTTGCTTTGATATTTCAAAACTATTATCGGGGCTTTCACTGGAAACTTTCCATTTTTAATTTCTGGACCTAACTATATTAAGAATAATATACTACTGATATTACTGCTACTACTACCACTACTATTACTACTGCCACTAATATTACTAATACCACTACTACTACTACTACTACTACTACTACTACTACGACCACTCCTACTACTGCTACTACTACTACTACTACTACTGCTAACACCACTACTACTAGTAGTGCCACTACTACTCCTACTGCTACTTCTACCACAACTATTACTAATGCTACTTCGTCTATTAATATTACTACTACTGGCAAAACTAAGTAGAAAGCTTATATCAAATGTCAAATTTGCAGCCGCATTGGCATTTACAAAAATCCCTGCGCCAAGTCAAATGCTGTATCTGCCTGGCCCCCATAGGTGCCATGTTTGGCGGAGCCCAC